CACACACACACACACACACAAACACAAATATTCATTCACAAAAGCTATTATTAAAGATGCTGGATGTGTGCACCAAGCACTGGCCTGTTTCAGCATGTCCCAACAACAAATGACTTACTTTGCTTCTATTTTTGTCACGCACACAAACAAAACAAACAGTCCTCATGTTGTCCACAGTGTTTACACCCAAACAAACATACTGTTTATTGGGTGGTCAGTCAGAGGGATTGGTACATACCCGGAAGAGCTTAGCATGAGAGCTACAAAAGGTACCGTGCACACAGAGTAGCAAACTACCAACCCACGAACACTACATTTCTGAGGGGACAGGATCTGATGTGATGGCTCCACGATGTGCTAGCCTATGAAGCTATCGCCAAGTTAGCTGAGCTCAGCACGACTGAAACTACTTCTTGGCCTGGAAAAGTCTTGTAGTCCAGGTGCCATTGCAGGCAAACAGCAGAAACAATTACTGCACCTTGGCCTTGACCTTAAATCTGAATATTGTTACCTTTTGAGGGATGTGAAAATCGGACAAATCCAAACGCTTTTTCCCGCTAAAGAACTTGCCCTTGTAGCAAAAGTCTGCAAAATTCTGTGAAGATATTTCAAAGACTGCTTGTAATACTGGAGCAAGAAACAGTGTGACACGCGGATTACATTTGAGATGAGGGGCTTTTATTGGCAATTTATCTAAAGTGTTGTTCTATGTGTGCTTGGGAAGGCTGCTAGCTAACATTAGCTACTGTTTGCAACTTCTTCGGTCATGTTCAATATCATCACAGCAACATTGGTCACACACCCCCACCATTATATAACAAAAGCTCAGTAAGGTGTGTTCTTTACTTGCAAAAAACTACAAAAAATAACACAAGAAATTTCACATAAAAGAGGCAAGTAAAAAACTTAAAACAAACAGGAAATTGCATCAGCCAATGAATCAGCAGTGTTGTTCAGTACTAGGATATCCTGTCTTTATAACCGTCCATGCTTATAAAATAATCTAGTTTAAAGTAACTCTGTAGCTCACACCTCACACTTTAAAAGCACCTTGGATGACCTATACATATAATTTGTCAACATGACTGAAGGTTGCAGCCACAGATAGTTTTAGGTGTCTGTAGAAAACATAAATAAGGAGGCTGTTCGCCTTTTACAGAAAAATGTACCAATGTTCCAGTCTGTGTATGAGGAGGACAAACTGTCTCATACAAACAGCAACAATAAGAGCAGAATCTTGAATCAGACAAACCGCAACGCAGCATGATATACTGAATCTAACATATTCAGGATGAACTTGCATATATATAATATCACCATTATCAATTGCAGATTGAGGCGTCGCTTTAATGTTTTTTTTTCCTTGCACCAGAAGAAAATGAGAATTGTTTTCTTTGATAGAAACCATAACTTTACCCTGAGTTTTTTTTGTGCTTTTTAAATAACCGCAAATGAAATCATATTATCATTCCACAGCAAAAGCAAATATAGCCGCTAATGAAGTTACCGTTGCTCTGCTTATCTTCAAAGAGGTTGCCGTCTTTGTCATCTTATTGCTTCAAGTGAACCTTTCCAGTCACAGACCAAAGCTTCCATAGATCATGTGTGTGTGTGTGTGTGTGTGTGTTGTGATGGTGCATGCAGTGTGAATTCTCCAGCTAAAGACAAACAGCATGTTAAAGTATCAACCACAGATGTTGTGCCGGGTAAATGATTGTACAAACTCAAGAAAAAACAGTTAGTTAGAGAATGAGTGGGCATAGCTACTGGACAGTTACTCATACTGCAAGTGCACTCACGGATGACGGTGTGTGTTAATTATTGGAGCATCTGTTTCACTTACAAAACGTGCTTTAATGCCTTATAGGGTGATTAAACAAAGCCTACATTATATCAGAGATGATCTGTCAAACAAGCATGACTCAGAATTTCCAGACGCGTAACACCAAGAGCAACTTCTGTGAAAATATTACAGTCTAACTGCAACCATCTGTGTGTGTTTGTGTGCGTGTGAACGCAAGTGTGATGCAGCATTCGTCTTCTGTGTGCATACAGAGTGTGTGTGCACCAAGGCATCCGCTGCCAGGCTATAGGTCCTTAGATTTCTGCAAGGCATCAAGTTTCACTTGCTCAAACAAAGATAAGAGGTGTGAATTACATAAAGTTTGGAGAAAAATGACGTCACCGTGCGCCAGTGTTTTCATCAGCTCAGGCAGGATTTCCCTCATCAGGAGCAGTTGGGCGACACAAATATAGAGCTGGAGACAAACATGTTATGGGAGAGAGGGAGACAGGAAAAGCCAGACAAAGTGTGTGTGACGTCAAGACTTCTTATGCAGAAATGGCAAGAATCAAAACACAAGTAGACTGGCAATGATGAATTAGTTTGAAAAGAAGAAGTGGTGGGTATTTGTCCTGATTGAGTTTCTTCCTTAAAACAAAACTAGTCAAAACCCTTTGTTTAAACCTGCAATGATATTTAATTTTGTTTGCAGTTTTGAATCTGTGCCCTGGGTTAATGACTTCATTTGAAGCCAGAGGGCGTATTTCCCTTTCACTGAATAGAGTTCAGTTAAAACCTGATGACAGATGATTATGAATTATTTGCTGTTCCGGCTGCACTTTGATTCCTGTATTTCCTTTGAAAGATGGGAAATGATTCTGTGGACCACGTGCGTCCTGTCTTTGTTGTTTTGTTTTCTTTAGTCTCTGGCCTGCCAGAGGTGAAGGTGGTAGAAGACGTCACCTGTGAAGTGGAGCCGGAGGATCACAACAGAATGGTCGGGACAGTGTAGTGATATCAGAGAGTATGTGAATTCTCTGCTGAAAGTCTCTGGATTCAAGTGTGTCTATGTGTTCTATATCTATAGCACATAGATAATGAAATGATGATTTTAATGTTGGACTTGTTTTTAACTGAGAATGGTTGGGCTGCCATCTAGCGGTGGATCCTTGCCACTAAGACAACAAAGCAACAGACGATATAAATCCCTTATTGAGTTTCAGTGTTAATCGTTAGCTTAGTTCAGTACAAAGAAGACGTGTTAACAGTTTGATATGATTGTATTCCACATACATGAAAAGCTTTCAGTTCTTTTATCTCTGGAGGTTTGTATTTTGTCACATTGTGCTTATGAAGATACTTTGCTCCACCTCACACTGTACTTTCAACATAGACATTCTTATATCTGCTACATCAGTGCAGCATTATAAATATTTGATTCCATTCGGACCTTGTAGTTGCAAAAATACACCCAAGTCATTTTGAATGTGCTGAAGCAGATTGTTAAAGGTAAACATGTTCTTCTTCTGTTTAAGATACTTCATGGTGAGTTTAATTATCCTCTCTAGAGACTCTAAACTCCCCAACAGTCTGGTGTCACCCCGTATATGTCGTGTTGTATATATCATATTGACAAAGAATCACTTCTTTAGATGAGGTTGCAGTAAATAAAACCAAAACAAATGATCAATATTTGTGATTTTATTGTGATTGACATAAATCAGTACATGAACTTTTGTATCTTCTGCCTGCTTTGTATTCAGACATGAATACATTAATATATTTTTTGTTAGTAGCTGCATCATTAACAATAAGCGTTGATAAACAAACTATATATTGACAGCTCTGATCGCTAAAAGCGCCTCTCCTCCAAAATCATTGTCTTCCTATTGTACGGCTGTTTTAACACGCGCATAAAAGTTAAAATATTAATGTCTCAATCGACCGAGGCAGCCAATCAAATGAAGCAAGAGGCTTTGCCAAAGAGCGGGTTTTTTTAAGCTTCCGGTGTGATCGACCCCACATGTGAATTTCAGTGCCTATAGATGTTTACAGTGACATCATTTTAGTTTTACGGATAAAGAATCACATCAACAGGAATCATTGTTCACATCATAAGAAAGGATCACGGGAATTGTAGCCCTATTTATCAATATTTAACAGGCTATTCAATCATTTCCCCCTTTTAGGATCAAACTCATCGAGGGGGGTAGAAATGACCATTCCATGTAAAGTTCCACTTCTTCTCCTTCAGGAGATTCCTGAGATCTCCCTTCACAAGGTTTTCAACCTTCTCCCTCTTCTCATCTGAGTACATCGAAGATGTTGGTCGTGCTTGCTCTTTGACATCAACGCCATTTTTAAACAAGTTGGTCAAACTTTCAACTTCGGCACAATTGCCATAAACAGACACATTCTCTGCAGCTGTTGTCAAACCAAACATATTCGCACATGATCTGCAAGGAGGCTTGCTTTTTTTGTCCAAGAGGTCAAACGCCTGGCACCTGACATGCTGTGGAATTTTGATTGTTCCATCAAAATGTGGGTTCTTTTTCTTGATTGGAAAGTAGGTCATCACTGCACCAGCTACATACCTGTCCCAGTTGCTAAGACAGGACGCAGCAATCATGAATCGCCTCGGAAGAGGGCCAGTAGGAGCGGACATGGAGACTCCATAGTACTTGACTTGATCTTTGTTATCGGTTTTGTTAGAGACACAGATGGTGGAGGGGACCAGATCCCTTGATTCATCAGGCTTCAGGTCCTTGATGAGCATTCGCAGGCGACCTATTATGTCTGTTTCCTTCTGTCGTCCTAACAGGAGGACAATCTGCAAGCAATCACAGATTTAATTAATGCTATGATGTACATTAATTATAAACTTTAATGTATTAAGATGTCTAGGTGAAGTAGAAATTCTGTGCAGCTTTACAAATAATAAATAAATCATCTTTTGATAAACTATAATCCTACCATGTCTAGCACACATGAAAATGGACTCCGTCTGGGTAGCTGAGAGGAATAGAGCTTAAAGGGCTCAGGGAAGCGGCGCTCCAAGTCATTGAACATCTCGTCATGACTCAGAATACTTTCTGGTGAAACTGATGGCTTGCGGAGTTTTCCAAAAAAGAAGATGCTGTGAAGAATCTGTGAAGTCGAAACACATTCAAAGAAATATAATTTTGTATTTTGAGAGGCATTAGGTCAAAAAACAACAGTACATTTCAAAAACAGTCATCAGACATACCTCATCCACTAGAGCTTCTTGGCGAACTTGGTTACTGAGGTCCAACATTTTATCGATAAGCAACAAAGCATTGCTTCTGAAAGGTTCTTGGTCTATCAGAAATTCTTCTTCTCTAAAACGATAAATATCAAATGTTTTTAGAGGATTAAAAAGCAGAATGGATTAAAATATTATTTCCAGTTGTTTTATGATTTCAATATGTATCATTTTCAAACCAACGTCTAGTTAATAAACAAACTAATCATTTGGAATTAGGTTAAAAAATATTTTTCCAACAATGTATAAACTGCCACCATTATTATCAGAAACTCATTTAATATTTACTCAAGATTTCACTTTTTTACTCCAACTAACTGAACACTGTTTTGTTGCAGTTGTTGTGAATCAGTTTATTTACCTGCTTCTTTGCTCTCGAGCAGCCTGATGCAACCAGAAATAACACACGACACATTAAATTACACGTTTGACTGACAACAGAAATTAAATCAGCAAAGTACAATTTAATCATAATGATAATAAATATTGGAGAAGGAAAGCACGTAAAAGCAGCTACTCACCATTGTTAAGTCCTCGGTACATGAAACAGAAAGAGAGAAATGAAACCCGATCCGGATTTGACCTACCACTCCTCAGTGGGGAGGGATTTATCCTGCAGTTTATTTGCTCTACTTGAACGTCATGGTGCTGGTTTGACCACAACAACACCATCTACAGTATGTAACTGTGGAAATAAAAACACATGAACAGCAGAAATATAATCTTGCCCAGGAAGCAGTATGTTGACATTAGGTGTGGTGCAAATTCTTTGCTGAACCGAAAGTGAACATGAAACCCCCTGCTCATGTCGTAACAACTTCTTTAGTACTAAGAACGAAACTTTGAGTTCTGCTTTACCGGACATTAACTCAGCATGGTGGCTAAAACTTTCAAAAACATGTTTTTATATTTTGGAAACAAACAAAATATGTAGACGTGACAAATGATGGTTCTTTCAGCATTTAAATGAGTTTGTTGGTCCCTGCTTTGCTCGTGTTGTCTGGATGCATCGTTTCCATGTGAAGTTCTTTTGAGTAATCAAGCTAGTCACTGACTTGAGTCTAAAATCAACTTCCTCATATCTTGTGGTTCGTCAGTGTTCATTTCAGCCTCACTGAACAGAATAAACGTTTTCTGCAGTTCAATGGTTAAAGAAAATACTTTTATTGGTAAAAGAAGAATTTATTAAAGTGCTCATTTAAGACAAACAGGTATCACAAGACAATGTGTAACAATAAACAAACAATAAACAAATATAATCAGTCAATTATTGGAAATAGATGTTTAAAATGTTAATTCCATAATCACATACAATCAATATTAACAAAATCTGCAATAGTTCGCATGTGGTTTTTACATTTTGCTGGAGAAATTAAAGGTGGTCCCTCAATTGGTGTTTTGGGGGTGGACGAGCTGGCTCCAACATCTCCGATAGATTCAGTTGGATTGAGATCTGATTCTCTGAAGGCCATAGCATTCACTTCATTTTCATAAACCAATTCACTGACCCCATTTAAATGATGGAATTGATTGATAAACCTCTGAATCATTATCATAAATCTTAAATCATAATAAAACTGTTATATTAGATTGCATAATCAATAGAGGACCACAGACATTTGTGTGTATTCATACATTTTTATTCACATTAAACACCAAGCAAAATAAAATCAGCTACAGGCTCCTGGAGAAAGGGTTGGAAGTGAGAGAGAAAAGAAACAAGTTAGATGACTCAATGGAACAAGTGACCAGATATCTAGACAGTGACATGTTACAAAGGGGGCCATTGAAAGGGGGCAGAGCCGGATGAGGTCCAACAGATGTTGAGGGTCAAAGGCGGCATAGACTCTGACTTGTTAAAGGTTTTTAATTTCAACAACTCTAGTGATAGAAAGCTTAGGGTTACTTAAAATAGTAAATAATCATCATAAAGGTTTTTATGTATGCTTGATGTATTGATGTAAGATATCAAAACATCCAGATCAGAAAAAGTATGACCTTAACTTCTACCCTGCAGCAAAGACAAACATACCAACCTGTTTTGGGTCTGATGGATCGGAGATTCTTCAGGAAATCGGACTTTTTTGCCGTCACCAGTTTATGATGCTCTTTGTCCAAACGTTTCCCCACATCACCTTTCCTCACTTCATCCCAGTCCTTGTCGGTCTACACACAAAAGACAACATAAAAATATAAAACATTGTTAGTACACACAGGTGATCAATCATCAGGGTCCACAATCACAGAGCCCTGCTTGTTTATAGCAAATGAACTGTAACTTCTCACCATTTTTTTGAAGGCCTCCCCTTTGTAATAGGACTTGGCTGCTGGATACTCCATTCCAAGGAGAATTAGCTGCTTCAGGCTTGAAGCCACCAAATGCAGCTCATCTCCATCGTAGGCATACAGCTTTCTGTCCTCACAGGTCATCAGAACGAGTTGGTCACACGGGCACGAAGTCCCCTCCACCACACCCATAACCTGCATGTCTACTATATCTGGAAGGTAGAATTTGTTCCACCCATTCACCACGTTGTCCTTCCCACTGTAAATGGTGTCCTTCAGGTCTCCAACCGTCCATGTGGCACCATCTGGACTCTCTAAGTCGAAAGTCTCGTGTTTATGTTTGGACACAAACTCTGAACCTGTAACACATGCCAGAGGACTTTGATTAAATATGGAAAATAGTTATCATAGCAAGGTTGAACAATGTGTGAGGCAAAGGTGTGTGTAGTCTACCTTCTAGTTCTTCGTCTCGCACGGACGCATGAATAATCCGATCTGCAGACCTGAAAGGCAGAAAAAAAGTGATAAAGTTTACAAAAACAGAACTAAAATAAGTGCCGATACTAATCGGTGGATACTAATAACAACTAATCGATATCCCCATGAAACTTGCCCAGTTGATAACTTATATTAGGACAATTACTTTTTGTTTTACAAGTTTTCTGAAATTGAATGTTTCAAAGTACAAATGAGTCATTATCTTATCAAAATCTGAACATTGCCCAAGTCTTGGTGCTTGAACCTCTTCTTAGCTCCACACAGTTACACTCCGTCTGAAGCTTCTCATTTCACTTTATTCAGTGGGATTTGTCAACATGGGCTATACAATTATTAAGTATTACTTAATACACCTGATTTATATGTAATTGCCTATTTAAATTACTCATAACAAAACAGAAAACTGGTTCTTACAGGCAGCTCACCGCCATTCTTGCTCTCTTGTCACCTAGAAAACAAAATTTGTATTGTTAAAAGCAGTGGTGTTAAAACACTGAAAACCTTTACTGGAGTACTGAAAATAATACTACAGAGGGATATAATTATATTATTATCATATATTTTTATTATAAGACAAAAGACAAGGTAATATACTGCATCCCTAAGAAGCAACTACATGTTGATAGAAACACAATAAAATACGGACTTATTCATTTTCACATGTCGTGCACACAAAATATGCGCACTGGATAACTATTTGGCATATCTTTTGTGCATAAGATTTTAAGAGAACAGAGAGTGAACTATATCTCTCTCTCTCTCTCTCATATCTCTCTCTCTCATATATATATTTCTAGAATCGGCTTGAATCACAAATGCTCTAATGTTTTCACAAGTAGAATGAAAGCTGTAAAAATCTCTTTTTTCTTTTGAAGCTTGTGTGGGGTCACAACAAGGCAGGAAAATATTCGCCCTTCCATTTAGAAGTGTCTTTGTTCTTCTTATTAATCATCTCAAATGTGAAAACTACAAAACACATTTAAGGAATGTTTAATCTGAAAACAATGTTTACACAACAGAAAGTAACCCTTGGCTTTTATGTAACTAGTGACGCTGGCCCTTTAAAAAAAAAAAAATACAAGGTAATTTGATTTTTATTATAAGACAAAAGACTAACAGAACAAAACAAAGACAAAACTAGTGACGCTGGTCCTTTTTTTAAAAATACACGGTAATATACTGCATCCCTAAGAACTATACATGTTGATAGAAACACAACACAACAAAATACGGACTTATTAATTTTCATATGTCGTAAGATAACTATTCGGCCATATCTTTTGCACATACGATGTTTTAAAACTAATTTGAGAAGTCTACGGCAGGCTAGGGTGGGGTTAGATTTTTTAAAACTATATATAGATATAGATATTCGCCCTTCCATTTTGAAGTCTCTCTGTTCTTCTTATTAATCATCTCGTTTTGTGAAAACTACAAAACACATTTAAGGAATGAATCTAAAAAGCAATGTTTACACAACAGAAAGTAACCCTTGGCTTTTATTGTAATCGATACTGTTAAGAAGTTATTTTAACAGACTGGAAAATGAATCGAAAGCGTGAGAAAATAACTCAAATAAGAGTAGGCTGGTTACCGGAGTTGAAGAGTAGAAAGAGTCCGTTCTTATCGTCATGGAAATAAAACAAAACGTCGGTCTCATGTGAACTGCGACATTCAAGTGGTGCCTTCAAGTGCAAATCAAATGTTGCAATATTACAATTAGAAACTCGTTGTACTGATAGTTTGTATGTTTTCCCTTTCCCAGTCTAAGTAAAAGGAAGATGTTTAAGTGTCATTAATTAAGCCCATACATTTTACAAAATTTTACAATTTACAAAACAACACATACGGGCCACTTGGTTGAAATCGTAGGATTGTTTCCAGCTGTCACGTTACGCTTGAGGATGATCTTATATTGGCTAAATTCCGATATTTTACCGTGTCCGTGAAGGCAGCAGAGAAGACGCCCATGTGATAATATATAACCCAAGGACAGACTGCGCATGCGTACTGTATAAGCGGAAGCCGTATTTGCGTCAGCCGGAAGCCGCGACGTCCTTTCTGCTCCGGGACTGCCATCATGGTGAGTTCGCCATGAGAGTTTTAGCTTTTCTATGTAGAATTTCTTAACGTATAACTCGTTGTTCTGGAACAACAACAGTCATGAGTGTTGTTAACACTATCACAAGCGTATTTGTGATGTGTCTGATGTGTGGATGTAAGTTTTTATATTATAGTTTTAACGCTAATGTCTGTAAAATGTCGGCTACTGCCGCGCACTACAACGTGGTCCGTCGGTTACTGTTCGGCTAAGCCAACACATTTCACTCATTCTGTCTCCAGAACAATGACTTATATAAGACGTTATAATCATGACGTTATTACATGTAAATACATGCTATCGTATTGTTTAATATAATCCGTTTTTGGTTTAGCTAGTTGTCGTTAGCTAACGTTAGCAGAAACGTTAGCTAGTTTTCGTTAGCTAACGGCATCCGCCATCTTTTATGGAGTGGTTTGCTGGGGAGCATTATCTCGACAGCCGACAGGAAGATACTTAACACACTTGTGATGAAGGCCAGCAGTGTGCTGGGGTGTCCACTGCACTGGGTACGGTGGAGGTGGTGGGAGACAGGAGGGTGATGGACAACACTTCCCACGCCGGACGCCCTGGCAGCTCTGTGCAGCTCCTTCAGCCACTGGCTGATTTCCCCCCGTGTGTGAAGGAGAGGTACCGCAGGTCCTTCCTTCACACACCGTGTGTGTGTGTGTGTGTGTATGTATGTATGTATGTATGTATGTATGTATGTATGTATGTATGTGTTAAGGAGGTATCGCAGGTCCATCCTTCCTGCCGCTGTGAGGCTGCACAACCAGCGCTGCTGGCAGTAGACCACAAAACACTAACAATCTGTGCATTATAAATACACCGTGCAACACAATTATTCTGAAACAATTTAGTTTCGCCAGTGTGTGTGATTGACAGTTCTTAATGTAACGGAAGTTTGTACACAATTGTCCATGTGATGTTATAAGGCAGCCAACCTCCCATTTCAATGTCGGCCATTTCTGACGTGCAGCTCTCTGGTGTCTTCCTCAGGTGTTCAAACGCTTCGTTGAGATCGGCCGTGTTGCCTACATCTCTTTCGGACCCCACAACGGCAAGCTGGTGGCCATCGTAGATGTCATCGACCAAAACAGGGTGAGCGCCCTGAAGGATGGTGGATTAGTCAGCGTTGTAACCTGTCTTCTTTCCACTTGTTGACATTTATTTGTTTGTTGTGCTTTTCAGGCTCTTGTTGATGGTCCCTGCACAGGCGTGAAGAGGCAATCCATGCCCTTCAAGTGCATGCAGCTCACAGACTACGTCATCAAAGTACCTCACAGGTGAGCGGGAGCACCCCGTAGTTTCTTGACACAAAAAATTCAGTGTTTAATTTTTGTATTGCTCTTCTTGTATTAACAACTGTCCACTTGACTGTCGTCACGTCATAGGACCTTAAAGTGTCGACATCTACATGAATCTGGTGTCTTTTCTTAGTTGTAAAGTGGTTATGTGTGAGGATTCCTCCAGTATTAGTACTGACTGTATTTGATGGTTCACAGCGCCCGCCAGAAGTTTGTGAGGAGAGCCTGGGAGAAGGCAGAGGTCAACCAGAAGTGGGAACAAAGCAGCTGGGCCAAGAAGATCGATGCGAGAAAGAGGGTAAAGGCTACGTCTCTGCTCATAATCAACATTATGGATATTAAGTGTTTTGTGTAATTAAGTTACAGCTGATAGTGGACATTTCTAAAACTGTCTTCCTTGGCTCCTGAGCAACACACCAGCCATGACATACAGTAGTTGCATCACACACCAAAGTCGTGGCTACTTGCGTTCAAACTCCAGTGAAATACACCCATGAAAAAAACACCGGTGGCAGATTTCATTGTTAGGCAACCTGGGCCACTGCTGTAGATTTATTATGATGTTTAGATATGAATAATATTTACCCCAAAATAAATATCGAAAACTGAAATTGTGCGCTACGGTGATTCTTGTGAGGAAAAAGTAAACAACTCCCTGACTTTTGTCTTCTGTGGTTCTCTTTGCAGAGAGCCAACATGTCCGACTTTGACCGCTACAAGGTGATGAAGGCCAAGAGAATGGTAAGTCCAACGGAGACACCGATCACTGCATGCAGGCCGCTTTCATACTCGCAATTTAATCCTGTAAAGTAAAAGCAACCGAGGAAAACAATTTCACATCTTGTTTATCTGTCTTCCCCACTGATTAATGGTGGATTAATGTTCATATCATCTAGATAATTGCCTTTTCCCTGTTGCAACATTGTGTTCCTCCGTCGGCTAATTGTTTGATTTTGGCTTAAACACGCAGCTCTAAACGTGATGTAATTTAGCACAGTGACCTGAATTCTAATGAGAATACCCTGATCGTTGAACATGATCAATAATTATTTAAGAATAATTAAAGAACAAGATGCAGCTTGATTTAACACCCAGTGTCACTTCAGTTATAAAGGCTCAATTAATGTAACTAATGATCCTACAGCCATCGTTGAGTATTTTTATTTAAATGAATTGTTCTTTTTGTTTCTGCAGAGGAACAAGATCATTAAGCACGAGGTGAAGAAGCTCCAGAAGGAGGCAGCAAAAAAGTGAACACTGCTCACTCAATAAATGTGCTGTTCAATTGTTCATCTGTGTGTTCTCATCTGTTCTTCTATGGCTTTGTTTCCACCGCGTGTGCCGTTTATTATAAATAAACCTTTTATGGACCACTAAATGTCTATTTTAAATTGGTATGTGAAGGGTGCTGGGGAATACACTCTTCAGATTTCTTCTGTTTGACAGCGTCCCATGAAATGACCCGGACTGTTTGTTTGTTGGTCATGTTTCTTCATGTGATTTAAGATCTCTGGCTGTTCTCTATTCAAGCGTGTTTAAATTGAGAAGCTTGCTTCACATATAGTGATTTCAGCTGTGCAGTTAAATTATGATGAAACCAAAGTGTCTGTTAAAAGAGTTCACTTGACATTTAATCACTAAATTTAAAATAGGAAAAGAGTTTATATAAGCCAACCATAAACCACCTAACTCATGTAGGTTTTTAACTTTTTACCAGGTTAAAATATATGTGAAAATAATAAAATATTGATTTTCTAATTTCAAACTATACAGTCAATTGGATATGTATCACTTTATTTAATCATATTGATTGTCGAAGGGATCAATCGGACACATTTTAATGCTTTTGGACAGTTTTTGCTTTGCAGGACGAGTTCACCTTTGGCTCCGATCATGTTCTGCTAAAAACGGAAGTTACATTTTCTCTCAACGCACAAAGAAAATGAAATGATCCAAAAATTGACTTATGCTGAACAGAACATTTTTACTATTATTTAAACTTCAAGTACATAGTGCAGAACTTTACTTAGCTGTTGACTTTTCGGTGGTGTTTATTACCTACTTCGCTTTTAATGAAAGTTAAATGATTTCGGATTGACGTAGAATCCACTGAACTGTTATTTGTTTTGGTAGAATTTTATATGAAGAGTGAGTTGTTTGAAGCAAAAAGTTGGACAAAATAAAACGGGTTTTGTAAGAAGCCCTTCCTGAAACGTCCACTAGATCGCAGTCTCAGCTAAAAGTGCTGATTGACCCCTTTGTCTTTATTTTTACTTTAAAGAAGCACACAATCAAAGTTGCACTGTTTCAGATGCAGGGAGGTTAAGTCCTCTACAGGTTAAATAATAAAGGCTGAACTGTTTGCTGCCACGTGATGTTAGGAAATGAATACTTATCTAATTGAGCTGGTGTCACTCAAACACACAGCGCTGCTTGCCAATCCGTGGCTTTGTCTCGTAACAGATGATCATTAAAACAATCTTCTTTTACACAGAGCAGCACAGTCCTCATGTGAGATCCTGTCACCAGTCAAACAGACTCAACAGACGTTTCAATATTACATAACTACACACTTGAACATACCAGCTGGTTGAGTGCAGAGAACAGAGACACACCTCCTCTCTCACCACCACCATCACCTGTACCTCTCTCACCACCACCATCACCACCACCACCTCTACCTCTCTCACCACCACCACCACCTCTACC